CCTCTCCTCTCCTCTCCTCTCCTCTCCCTCTCCTTTTTCCTTTTTTTTTCTTTTTCTCTATATTTTGATTAATTTCTTTCATAAACATGCAGAGAGTCTTTAGGGTGAGATTTGATAAAAATTAGGAATGATTGTAAAGATCCTTCTTATTTTCTAACTTTCACTAAGGTAAATAAGTTATAAAAACTTATAGAGGGAGAAAGACAAGAAAGTGAAGAGCTGTATTTTCTCAATTTCTGAGATCCATCTTGGTTAGATGTGCTTTGTACAAAGCTGGTAAAAGTTACATAAATGTCTTCTTGCCTTTGGGAGCCATCTCTGTCAAGACAGGCAGGTACTCTACGTCTTGCTGTCTCTTTTCTTGTTTTTATTTGGCACTGCACACACCGAAACTGGCCAGTACAATGTTGCTCATGTTTTCTCTGAAGCCCCTGTGTACAAGGTCTGTTCATGCTGCTTACTGAGACCGCTGGAGCTGATGAGAGGATTTGTCTGCAAGAGAGGGCAGCCAGCTTTCTGCTAAGGCTGCTGACAGAAGGGATTGATTTCATAATTAGAGCTAAATGGCACCTCCCTGGCAACAGACACGTTGAGTCACATCTGCTATGCATGTACCTCTAGGCTGTTCTCCTGGAAACTGTCCTGTATGGGATCTGCCTGCCTCTCAAAACCAAGAACAAAAATGACCTTTTTGAACAGTTCATTTCAGCCAGGTTTTCCAGCTACTGAATTTTTATAGCACCTATTGCGCCACTTATTTTTCATGGTTTCCAGATATTCTGTTTTAAGGCAGGTGTCTTCAGTGCATCCCCTAGGCTGAATGGGATGTCATAAACCACTATAAACTCCACAATGTAAATAAATTTACAAGAACCCGATACAGCTTCCTATGCACCTTTGTGATTAACTAGAGCTAAGTGATTTCCCCAAACTTTTTGAAACAATATTTTGTGACCAATTCTTGTACAAGGTAAGGCAATATCTGCTTTCAAAATTTAATGCATACAGGCACATGAAAAAGGTGGAAATTAGCCAGCCAGCTAGATTGAAACAGCAATTAGCTAAGGAGAATCCTATGAGCTGATCTGAACAGGCAAATCAACCTTCACATGTGTCCCCTACATGAAAAATCACTGAAATTTTGTCACTTACCATAATTCCTTCTCTAGACAAGAGATAATTAATCATCCTCTTGCCCTTTATTAGGTAGATGGAGCTGCGATTGAAATTATGCACTCATCAGAGCAATCAGACCTCAGAAAACACTTGACTTAACAAATTATGTAGCTCAGTAGATAGCTTCACTTTTCAGTAACAAAATGGCACATAGCGTAAGAAATTGCAAAGTAATTACCACCTGTATTTTCTTTCCCTACACTCAGTAATTCCACTTTTTGTCTTTTCTCTGTTTTCTTCATGTAATGAAGGTTCTCTTATCTTCCTAAAGAAATCTGTCAAATTGTTTCATATTCAGCATTTGAAAAAAATGTCAAATTATTTTTCCCAGGAGTATAAACAGTGATAACAAAGGAAAAGAAAAATCAAAAGACATAGCCCTGTAGAATTTTTAGTGATGAGCAATAACAAGCGACTTCATTTATTAAAAGGTAGATTCCAAGTGGTGCGGGAAATTATTTGGTGGTTTAAAACAGCAGTGCAGAATTTCCTGTTATTCATGTATTATTTCCTCTCTCCTTCAAATGTAATATTAGTTAAATGATAGCTTGTTTTTTCATTATGTTCAGGAAATATGATTCAACATTTCTGCAATGTTTCTTGTAAATTGAAGTAACTATACTTCTAGAAATTATAACATTCAATATTAATCCCTGTAGATAGCATTTCACTTGGAAAAGTAAGCACAAATGTAAATGGAAAATACTTCCAGCTGATTAGACAAAATGTGAAATCAAAATATTTCCAAATACAATATAATTGCTTCAACAGAAGATTGAGGATAATGAAAAATAATTTTCTGTGAAAGAAACCAAGAGCTCATATTGATGTTAAGTACAACACAATCCCTAGAATATTATTCCATTTTATTTGTTGAGATCAGTCATTTGTATTTACAAAATCATGCCTTTGAAATAGTGTTTAGATATTGAAAGATGAAAAAAAATCTAATTTTGGCTAGTAAACCTCACTATTTAAAATATGTTCTTTATTTCTGCTCTGTCTTTGATAATCTCAGAACAAGTCCATTGAAAGAAAGTTGCTTAGGACTCCATTCAGCTGAGTCTGGTCTGAATATCTTCAAGCGAATTCTGAGCTTATCCAAGGACAAAGAATCCACAGCCTCACTGGGCAACCTGTTCCAGGGCTTGATTATGCCCAAAGATTCATGGTATCTATGGCCTCTCCAAAACATTTTGAAAATATTTCATTAACAGTTATTTCGGATTACTTGAGAAGAGTTTATTACACACAGAATATTTGTGAACAAGATCCAGTGCTATAGAGGACTTTTCAGAAATCAGAATAAAGATTTTTTTCATTGCAATTCTTAGGATACCACCATTCCATGCATAGTAAAGAGATAACTGTGTTATAAAAATCCTTAATGACAAAATTTGCTTTTGAAAAGAATAGATTGAGCTAAACATATTTTAGTTGAGAGTCATCATGAACCTTATAAATCTTAATAGAAAATGACTTTGGTGTGAATTTTGTATTTATGCTACCTTCCCAGGATTGATTAAAATCACTCCCATTGCATACATAAACATATTTCTGTAAAATTATCAAGGACCAGGACCCTATTAGGCATTATAAAGTGGAAAACCTTTCCCTGCATAATCCATATATGGTTTTGTGAAGCAAAACTGAGATCTTTCATAAAGGGTCAAGAATTTGGAAAGCTGAAGAAAATAACAGGATTGTAACTATGGAATTAAATTCAACTTTTTAAATTTTTCTGGAGACATAAGAATTATCTTCCAACCATTAGGGATGCTATATACTTAAAAATCAAGGCAAGATCTGAAGACAAAAAATTTCCTTTATATTTTTCTCCTCAGTGTCTTTTTCCACAAAAAAAGGCATATAAATGCTACTCAGACAGACAGTGCTGCTAATCTAGTGCAAGTTCCTGAGGGAAAGAAGGCAACTATAAGGTTTATGTTTTCTGAGAGCAGGGGAGAGATTGGAAATTATGGACCAGTTATCTTAACTTCAGTTTATGCAATAGTAGCAATATTAAAAGATACATTTTTGTAAACCCCCCAAAAATAGAGTGAGAATGGGTACAAACACATGTAAATTTGACAGGAACAATCATAGCATCTGCATTTCCTTCACTGTTGGTAGGAATTTCTGAATATGCAGAACAGAATATATTGTATATCTTGACCTCACCACTGTCTCTTGTTTTGTGTGACATTTTCACAAAACGGAGATCTTCATGAAATTGCTATGAGGCAGATACATGTTTAGGAAACCATGTTTAGTAGTTATTAATTGTTCTTTGTTTTCTAGCATTACGTATTGAGCAGTGTTCTGCAGAGATCAGTCTTGTGCCCGGTTCTTATCAATGTTCTCATTAGTGACTTGAGTCATTGAGTAGGTAGTCAATGATTAAATAGTGTAGTGTGCTTATTAAATTTCCAATGACATCAAGCTGTGAGGGTCTGTAAACATATATGAGGACAGACTTAAAAAGATCTTGAAAAATTAGGAAAATCATTTAAATAAACTGGATGCAATTCAGTAACAAGAAATGCAGAACACTAAGTTTAAATTATCAAAAATTTCAAGTCATAATACATGAAACAGTAATTTTGCAGATTAGTATCTGAGGCAAACTGAGTTGACTTTTTCCTTAGCACTAGATATCAAATGTTCCAGACATCTATGTCTGATGTATTTATTTTATTATTCCTTTAGACATTGGGAAGAAATACCTTTTCATGGAACCTTAATTGCTCCAAA